TGTGTGTGTGAGTGTGAGTGTGAGTGTGAGTGTGAGTGTGAGTGTGTGTGTGTGTGTGTGTGTGTGTGTACCCTGTGTATGATGCCAGCAGCATGTAGGTGTTTGATGCCGCAGAGCATCTGATAAAGCAGGTATGAGAGTCTCTCGTGGTCCAGCTCCATCTGAATGACCTGGCACAGGTTAGCATCCATCAGCTCCATCACCAGATACCTGCAGACAGAAGACGCAGGAACACAAATGAACAAGCATGTATGCAAGCATGCACACACAGATTTGTGAGTTATGCAGGACTTTTAAGATGCATTTCAGTGGCATCTACTGTACATGATGTACATCATCAGTAGCTCTCGTTATTTAACCCATTTGAGTTAATCCTAGGCCAAATTTATATTTTGTATAACAGATTTGACAAGCCACAGGACATTTCACTTCCATTCTAATACAATTTTTAAATCACAGCAGAAAGAACTTACACATCCTGGAATTCTTCAAGTGTCTTCTGAGGCGTGAACACATTTAGCAAGCCAATTATCTGTGAAATGAAAGCATAATGCATAAAAGCTGTGCCCTGTGATGTGAGGTTCACAAGCTGATCTATGATTACATCAAATTCTTACAATCTAAAATATTACAAAATTACAAACTACAAAAGTGCATATATATATATATATATACACTTCAGATCAAAAGTTTGGAGTCAGTACATTTGTCAAGAAATGTATACTTTTATTCAGCAAGGAGGCATTAAATTGATCAAAAGTGACTGTAAAGACATTTATAATGCTACCAAAGATTTCTATTTCAGCTGTCTCCAGAATGGATTTCAAAGAATCCTGAAAAATATAACGTATCATGGTTTCCACCAAAAAATGAAGCAGCACAACTGTTTTCAACATTGATAATAATCAGAAATGTTTCTTGAGCAGCAAATCAGCATATTAGAATGATTTCTGAAGATCATGTGATGCTGAAGACTGGAGTAACTGGACTTTGGTATGTTCTCCTACGCACCTATCTATTAATTGTCAATTGACAATATATAATAAAAAATAAAAAAAAGTTGTTTTGAATTGTAATAATATTTCACAATATTACTATGTTTTTGATCAAATAAAAGCAGCCTTGGCGAGCAGAAGAGACTTTTTCAGCTTTACAAAAGTTTTTATACACACACACCCACATAAACACACAGACAGAGACAGAGCAAAACATGTCTTACATTTTTGTGGTTGACACATTTCATCAGGACCAGTTCTCTGTAGGCCCGTTTGGCGTGGGTTTGGTTCTGAAAGGGTCGGCTAAGTTTCTTAATTGCAACATTTCGTTCAAGGACATGGTCGTACGCTGAGCTAAAAAGACAAAGAGAAAGCCAAACACAAGCTTTCATTCACCACACTTACTCCCGTGAGCCGTCTTAATGACAATCCATTTCTTTTATATTTTACAGGCTGATAATAAATCCATTCAACTTACCAGACGATGCCTTGTGCTCCAGATCCGATTGGTCTTAAATTCTGATAGCGCTTCAAAACGGTGAACGTGGAATCTCCTACATCTATGCTGTAGTATTCCTTCTCACGCTTATTCCTGTTCATGGTGAAAACCGTTCTGACTGTGTCTTACGCATTCAAGAAGAACTTCCCCTTCAAAAATCTGAAAAGACAAAAAAGAAAGAAATTCATGAGTACATTTTAACCTTAATTTGTTTTGGTTATGCCGTTGAAAAGAAAGAACAAATAATGTGGTTTGCCAATAAAACACTTTCAAAAGAACTTGGCCTTCAAAGTTAGGTAAAATGCATAAATGCAAATTTATGAGTCCTAGACTAAAATAATGCAACAGAGCATTGCAACTAGGAATGATATATCGCATATTCATCTTATATTTGTACATTTTGGTGTCTATATATAAAAGAGCTACAGTTTGCCTATTGCAGTGATTGTAATGCGATTTTTATTTGGCCCTTAAGTTTTCCAAAGTCTAACTGTGCCATTCGACTAGTTCAATGATCTTTCACGACTAGGGCTGGGCGATAAAACGATAACGATAATTATTGTGATATACAGCGCTGACAAACAGGAGAAACACTGTGCACAACGATACAGTCAGAAGGCTTTTCAGTCTACAAATCGCCATCATTTACCATGATTTTACTGTAGTAACACTAACTGAACCATGGTATTGTGTCAGAAATGTGGGATATATTTATACTGAATTTTATTATATCATTAATGTAGACATATATTAAATGCATTAAAGGAGTAATGGAATATTTTTTTTGTGATTAAGCTATAGCGCTTGTGCAGTTATACTAACTGTATTTTTCATACAAATACCTAGAAACCATATAGTTACATTTTTACCATGATATTGAGGTGCAATACTGTGGTTATTATTTTCTAAATGTATGCTACTATGGAAGACCAATGGTTAATTTTAATAAAACTCAAACAGTCAGAATAACTACATTTCACCATATAAAAATTAGGTTAATACAATTTTTACAGATGTTACTGTTATTGATAATGAACATACATTTACATATAATATAATATTACATATTTAATATTGCAGCCAGCACTGCAAACTGCGCTGAAGATACACATCATCAAAGTCAGGAACACAAACCAGTTTCATAATTTGAAACAATGCCACTCATTAGAACATGCAGAAACTAAGAAATATTTTTTTTCAATAATTTTTTTATTAAGATATTTCCTTTGTTAAGGAAAAATGACTGGGAAAAGTGTAAAGAATTCAAAAAGTGTGTGAAGTGTTTGTCATATTCTGACCATAAAGAGTAGTTTAAAACTACAATTAATTGTCTGGTTTCTACAACTTTCACTTAGGTGCAGAAATCTGCCTTTAAACTTGAAATAAAATGATCGTGATAATTATCCACGACTCATGAGTTTATAAAACTAAAGCATTTTAACTGGGTTTCTCATTTAAATTTCAGTAGCTAAAACGGTTTCAATAAACTGATTCAAAACAACATCATACAAAAATATCAGAATCAGAAAGAGCTTTATTGCCAGTTATGTTTACATATACGAGGAATTTGTTTTGGTGACAGAAGCTTCCACAGCACAAACAGATTACAGTGACAAGACAGACAATAAAAAGAATAAAAATAGGATAAGTAAATAGGAAATAACAATATATTTTAAAAAATGTAAAAATACACAATATACAATGTAAATATATAAAATAGATTGCATTTGTGTGTACAAATGCAAGGAAATGTAAAAAGAGGTATGCGTGTTAAATAAATAAATGTATAAGTAGTGTTGTGTATTACACGTTTACTGCCAAGTTAACTGTTCATGAGATGGATTTCTTGAGGGAAGAAACTGTTCTTATGTGACTGCAGAGTAGGACTGTATCAGCAGCTCCTGTGGCAGCTTGAACTTCCTCAGTACAGCCTCTGCTGGGCCTTCTTGACAATGTGAGTGTCCCACTTCAGCTCCTGAGAGATGCTGGTGCCCAGAACCTGAATGAATCTACTGCAGCCACAGTGCCGTTCATGATGGAGAGTGGGGGGAGTGCAGGGGGGTTTCTCCTGAAGTCCACGATCATCTCCACTGTTTTCAGCGTGTTCAGGACGTTATAACTGCATCAGACAGCCAGCTCTTTAACCTCCTGTCTTTAAGCAGAATTGTCTCCGTACTGGAAGAGGCCGATAAGTGTGGTGTCGTCTGCAAACTTCAGGAGCTTGACTGATCCATATCCATAAATCTAGCCTTTTATTGCTACATATCCGTCTTTGTACATATTAATTAAACCAATTTTAGTTCAGTGAAAAACATGGTTTATTTTTTAACTAGATAAGAGAAATTCAGAACAAATGCATAGCTATCAAGCTAAACACTGAATATCATGAAAATAGTGCAAAATAGCAATCTATTTTCTTCATGAGCTACCATGAAAGTCTATGCACTTTGGAAAGCGGGTGATGAATCTGAGCTAAGAAGCAGCAGCAAAGCCTCATCTTAATGCATCATCAGCGTTATAGTGACTTGAAGCAGAAATACATATTTAAACAGGTACACTGCTCAGGGAACTGTGAAAAAAATGACCCAGGCTGATACATTTGTATTGTGTTTATTCATTTATAATCCATTTATTCATATAAGCATCCATAATCATTAGTCATCTATAGAATTTATTATTTGATTATTTTATCATGCTTTAATATTTATATTTCTTATTATTTTCCTTGCTTATGCATTTTCATTATTCTTCAATCTCATGATTGTGGGGTTTCATAAACTGTTTTGTCTTTATGAATAAGAGATAAGAGGGAATGTTTATGGAAATCCAAGGTTTATGGGATGTTGTAGGAATCAGTTGAACATTACTTGTTCAATTTGTGTTCGTCAGATGAAGTCTGAGCATTGAGACATACGCAACTAAGATTGTACACTGCTAGTTATGGATATATATATTTTTTTTTTATTTTTTTTTTATGTATTGTTCTGTATTAAAACAAATGCAAATAAATATATTTGGGGAAAAAAAGATTGTACACTGCTCTTTTTTCCCCATCATCACTTTGTATCCTGCTTCTGCTCTTCTCTGGTTTTACTCAGTCAACTTCTTGGCTGATTGAAGACAGTAAAACCCTTGTTTTAGGTATTTGTCGGTACTAGTGCTGGGCGGTATGACCAAAAATTTATATCACTGTATTTTTCAAAATTATACCGGTTTCACGGTACATGACGGTATTTTTTTTTCATGCATGACCGGGTGTTAACCATATTTTCTACTGATTGAGAGAGGA